TAAAGGCAGTAAATAATCAACTTCCAGCCCCCTTTGCCTTGGGATGGCACTTCTCTGGGGCAGCTACCACCATATAAGGCAACAAAAGCCCCTTAGAGTGACTTCAGGTCTGGGCAGTTACAGGACCCCTTATCTACTATTTGTATAGCAGCCATAAATCCTAGTCTGCCATGATGAAGCCCCTGGCCCACACGTCCACACCAGGGTCTCTGCCTCCTAGCCCCTTCTAGCTCCTCCTAAACCTTCTAGGTTATATAGGTCACCTCAGACAATAGCCGGTGCTTCTTCTCTCCTCCCTTGTGAGAAGGAGTCTTGCTGCCCACCCCCTCTTTCTGGACAATAAACCTTTCTTTGTTCTCTGTACCTGGATGTCTGCGTGGTTCTCTGGCAAAGCCTAAGTAATCTAATGGAGCTAACAATACCTCTGTGGTATCTCAGTATATGGACTCAACCTCTCTGAGCCTTCATTTTCCCAGATGGTCAGAAGCTATCAGTACTACCCTGAAGATGTCTGTGAGAATCAAATAATCTTTGTGTGTCTGGCTCAAAGTCAGATGTCAAAAAATGTTCTTCTTTTTCTGTCCCTCATCACCTGGCCACCTGCCCCAGTCCTCTCTGACTCTTTCTTTCTCTAACAGAGAGACGGTGACTCCCAAAACCTTTGCCAGAAAAGGCTCCTGAGCATAGAAACCATTCTGTCAACCTGAGGGTATGTTGTCCTCAAATCCTATGCTAGTGCTAGGCTCACACCTGTCATCCTAACAACTCAGGAAGCTGAGATCTGAGGATTGAGGTTCAAAGCCAGCCCAGACAGGAAAGTTCATGAGACTTCTCTCAAATGATCTTCCAAAAAGTCAGAAGTAGAGATGTAACTCAAGTAGTAGAGCACTGTCTTTGCGCAAACGAAAAAGCTCAGAGACAGCATCCAGGCCCTGAGTTCAAACTCCAGGAACAGTAGAACAAAATTTTAAAAAGCACCCTGTGCATCACAGTTGCCCAGAATGCTAGTTTTTTAAATGCATATCTACTACACAGAGAGAGAGGGGGAGAAAAAAAGGTTCATGGAAATCCCCAGGCTAATTGTGATGTGAGCCAATGTTTAATGTTGTTTTCAACTGCTGTTTTCAAATGAAAAATCTCCCAAGAAGTTTTCCACTGCTCATCCATGGGCCTGAGAACCTAGAATAAAATACTAGACATCCTTGGAGAGCCACCTGGCCCGGTCCATCCATCCCCTTGCCAAGGAGATTGAGGCCTAGAGATGGCCAGGGCCAGAGCCACACATGAAATACTCGCAAAGCTGAACACGATGCAGATGCCCTGACAGGACGCTGAAGTCCAGATGCAATCGGGAATTTCCAGTGTATACAGTTACATCCAGTGACGGAGGCAAGGAAGAGAGAGCAGAAACTACCTGAGAAGGCCTCGGGGGATGCTGGGCAGGGACTGGTGTGGCTGAACTATAAGTCCCTCGGGTGCCTCTGCTGAGTCACTCATCAGAACCTCAGGCCCAAGGGCTGCTCTAGACATGGTTTAATAGCATCTCTTTGCCTCCATGCTTTTGTCTCTCTGCTTCCTCCTTCCTGCCTCTTTAGATCTCTGACTTGCCTTTCTCTGCGTATCTCTGCCTCAAAATTCACTGAGGGGGACCTCACTGACTTGATTGGAAAGGCTCCACTATGGAGTAACAGAAATGGGCAGCTACCGCCCTCGGGTCTACTGACCCCCGTGACTCACACCTGTAATCCTAACAACTCAGAAGGCTGAGGTCTGAAGATCTCAGTTCGTCGCCAGCCCAGGCAGAAAGGTCATGCAACTCTCATCTCCAATTAACCACCAAAAAACCAGACGTGGAACATGTCTCAAGTAGTAGAACACCAGCTTTGCATGGAAAAGACTCAGAGACAATGCCCAGGCCCTGAGCTTCAAGCCCTAGTGCGCGCGCGCACACACACACACACACACACACCTTTGGTCTTCCTCAAACCTTTCTCTTTTGCTAACAGATGGGCTTTATTCCTATGTGATGCCTTCTCATGGCGATGTATTTCAGAGGAGACCAAGAATGGTCAAGATAGCAGGGTTACCTGACCCACAGTGTAATGCTCTGTCTGCAGAGCACCTCAGCAACCTGTTTCCTCAAGAGTTACAGGTGTGAGCAACAACCCACCACATCCGTGCTCCACATGGTAGCAAGGCCAGTCAAAGCCTACATGGATTGTGGCCCTGCTAACATCTGAATGCAAGCCCTTCCTGACAGAATCCAAGCCAGAACTCAGATTCTCTTTGAGCTCCCACCCCGTGAAAATGTGAACAAAGAAAATGATGGCTTTTAGCTGCTATGTGTTAAGGTACTTTTGTAATACACTGATAATGCCTGAAACATGTTGCTACATAGTCATCAATAAATAGCCTTGAAATTGGGAAAAAGGAAAGAAAGAAAAAAGAAAAGAAGGAAGGAAGGAAGGGAGGGAGGGAAGGAGAGAGAGAGAGAGAGAGAAAGAAAGAAAGAAAGAAAGAAAGAAAGAAAGAAAGAAAGAAAGAAAGAAAGAAAGAAAGAAAGAAAGAAAGAAAGAAAGAAAGAAAGAAAGAAAGAAAGAAAGAAAAGAAAGAAAGAAAGAAAGAAAAGAGTTACAGGTGTGTCAGACACACTGCCACCTGTCTAGTCTCCCATGCCCCTATCCCCAAATCCTTAACTGAGTACACGGGAGGAGGCTGGGGTAAGGAAGGGTGGAAGGAAAAATCCTCCCTAGCTTCTTGGGCTTCTCTGAGGCCGTGAGTGCTGAGAGCCACATTCAGCACAGAAATCCAGCACACCCAACTCAATGTGAACTTAGATGTCTTTGAGATGGGCTTTTATCTTATGCAACTTTGAGCTGTACTAATACCAAGAAAAACCCTCATTGTTTCTATGAAATTCACATCTAACTAGGTGACTTAACTCCTACCTGGCACCCTTGCCTGAGAGGACAGGAAGCAGGCCTGTCTTGTAGGGTTGGAGAGCTAGCACACTACCTCTATCATACCTGCTAAACAGTAGACATTGAAATACACTTTTGTTGAATTATGTGCTTGTTCCTCTCAGAGGTCTCATTCACACTCTAATGAAACATTCTAATGGGCAAACATTGAACAAGAAAAATGACTCAAGAAAACCAGAGTGGAGTGTCCAGCAATTCTGAGGGGCTGCACGAAATACATTGAGATTCAGAGATAAACTAAGGACCCTGCCCTCAAAACAGTAAGACCAATGTTTTTTCCAAGCACTTAAATATGACAGCATGTTCCTGACCATAAGGTCAGGAACCAGGCAATTTTGTTCTATCTGCGTTCTATCTCCAAACTTTGCATATGGTAGATAATAAATAGTAGTGGTTTGCAAGGATGAAAACATGAAGATATAAATAATGCCATGTGAGGCCCACAGAGGCAAGATGATTCATCGATGGGGGACAGGAAAGAGAGGTCAAGTCTGGGACATGGGGTAGGAATATAACAGACAGATGGAAAGGAGAAAGCAGTTCCTGGCAGAGGAATAGTATGAAGCCTGGCTTTGCATATTAGTGAGCAGGGACCAACTCACAGAGGTAAGAAGTGAGACTGGAAGCGTGGAGAACTGAGGAGTCTGGTGTTAGCCCATGAGTGATGATTAATCACTAAAGACTTGCAAGTAGAGATGTGGCCTGAACTTTCCCCCATCACTAACACAGGTGATGGGTCTGTAAGAGAGACAGACTGGGAATCAGAAAAGGCAATGAGACACTATTAAAATAGCACAGCCTGGAGAGAATGGGGACTCTGCTGGTAGAGTGCATTTTGTATGCATTAGGAATTAAGTTTGCAGAACTGAAACCCAATGTTCATGGACTCTACGAATATCATCATCTGCCTGACCCTGCTTCTGAGTGCCCGGGGCTATGGGAGGGGAGGTGGCTGGTAAGAGGGGACATCAGGGAGGAAGGGGAGGTGGGAGGCAGCCCAAGACAAACTTCCTCCAGTTCATCCTCTTGCCTAAGGAGTGAGCTGTGCTGTAGCAATTGGGGGACAAATGCCAGCCCCCTAGGGCTCTCTACTCCCATGGGTACAGGACTCACAATGGCCGGCACACTCCCAAGCTTTCTGCCACCTACAAGCAAGACCATATCCTCAGTAGAACCTTGCCATTCTCAGCAAGCTGCTTCCCGCTGAAGACCCAAGGCTTGGCCTCAGGGCCACCTGCCCCTCTCTGCCTGGAGATGATCCAAAAGCAGGTTTCGAAGGTCATCACTAGACCCTGAATACAGCTGGTTCAAATCCATCCAGATGAGTGAGCTTTATGTTCTTCGCCTTGCCTTTGGGAATATGAGTTTCTGTGACTAATCACTAAACTCCCCCACATCATGTTAAATGAGTTATCCCCATATGAACATGCTTGGGGGTACCTGGCCTATTAGATGTCCTGTAACCGCTTTGCTTCTTCATTCCTGAACGTATGGGGAGTTTTATCTGCACTCTTATTCACCCAACTGTTATTTTCAGAACTCCTGTTATATACCAGCTACTAGAGAAGTTTGGGACAGGGTGGCAGGGGACACAAAGGAGTGACAAGGAAAACAGGCATAATCCCAGTCATAAATAGAAGTTTCATTCTTCTGAGGAAGAACAGATATTAATAAAATGCTCACATGATTAAAAGTAAAAAATGGACCTGTAAGGCGTGTCATGAATGAGACAACTCAACTCGTAAGTTATCCCAAAGACATATGGGTTAGAGCCTGCGGCTGACACACCTTGGCATAGCTCAAGCCAGGTGAAAGGCTAGGGGACTTCTTTTCCTATTAACTGGTTTTCCAGAAACTCCAATTCCAACAACCTAATATATTCAGAATGGGGAAATCTGGCATGCTCCCAGGTCCAATCTTGAACCCGTTTCCCATCCTTACCCACAAATAAATAAAGGCTGACTCCCGACCGCTCTAAGCAGTCTCCCCAGGGAAAGTTTATCCCTCTTCAGCTCCACCATGAAACTCTTCACTGTTCTGCTGCTGGCCAGCCTAGCCGCCACGTCTCTTGCCGCCCCTCACAGTGAGTATGGCCTCCTTTCCACTTCCCTCAGTCCCCTGGAAGACACTGGGCTGTCAGCTGAGAGACATCAGCAAGGTTAAAGACTTCTTTAACCCTTATAAGATGCTGTATAGAAAGGTGGGGAAGGGGGGCTGGGAAGGTGGCTCAGTGGTAGAGCGCTTGCCTTGCATGCATGAGGCCCTGGGTTCAATTCCTCAGTACCACATAAGCAAAAAGAAAAAAACCGGAAGTGGCGCTGTGGCTCAAGTGGTAGAGCGCTAGCCTTGAGCTGAAGAGCTGAGGGACAGCGCCCAGGCCCAGAGTTCAGGCCCCACAACCGGACCCCAGAAAGGTGGGGAAGGCCTTGAGGATAGAGGCAGAGGATAAGAACATAGAACCTCAGGAATCCTGCAACCCAGAATGCATTCAGAGGAGCCATATTAGGCCCATATCAGGGAAGACATTGGTCAACCATTAGACAGATCACTGATGGAGTGATTCTTGACAACCTGAATTGGACCATCTGCCTTCCCTCTGTACAATGAGAACAAAAAAAAATCACATGTGTGTGCACACACACTATTTATTGAACCCACTAGCTATGTATTGAACATTTACGTTGGGTCAGGCAGAGTTCTAGGGACTTAGGATACACAAAAAGACTAGACAGACACCTGAGTCATCACCAAGAAATAAATGATCCACATCTTAAATAAATTATATACTTCTTAGCATATATTATATGCGAAGAAGAACAGAAAGAAGAGTAAGGGAGGTGAAGAATTGAGGGTATGGGGATGTGAGGGATGGTTGCAGGGGAGGGACTCATGTATAAACTGTCTTGAAACCTCTGAAGATGTTCATCTCTTCCTCTTCAGAGCCAAAAGATGAAGTCCCCACAGAGACTCAGCACACAGATGCCCGTAAGTCTTTAGCCGGTGATGGTCAATGGCTAGCCAGGAAATGATGAACTTTCCACCTGAGGAAGGAGAGAGAAAGACGGTCCCTCCCAGTATTTGCCTTTCCTATGGCACTAATTGGCCAAGATGTGAGGGTCAGAAACCATATGAACATGCTAGGTAGTCATTGTATGTTGGGGTGAGGACTGTATCTCACACCTAAATATTACAGGGCAACTCATTTCAGCTCACCCCAAAGCAAGAAGATTAGAGGCCTCATCTGTTGCAGGCTCAGCTCCCCCACTAGGAACATTTCAGGATTATCTGTGCACCTAGTTTAATCTCAAACCAGCTTCCTCCAGTTTACCTGAGGGGTGAAAAAGGAAAATGGGAGCAATGATCATACCTGAAAGAAAATGAGCTGATGTTAATTAACTCTGACTATGAACAAGGCTATGAGACAGATGTTTGTAAAAAAAAAAAAATGATCTTTAACTGGGAAAGTAGATTTACTGGGAGAAGTGGAATTCCTAATTAATGGCATTCAAAATTATATAGGTGTAGCCAGCTGCTGGGGGCTCTCACCTGTAATCCTAGCTACTCAGGAGGCTGAGATCTGAGGATCGTGGTTTGATGCCAGCCTAGGAAAGTCTGTGAGATTCTTATCTCCAATAAACCACCAAAAAAAGCCAGAACTGTGACTCAAGTCATAGAGTGCTAGCCTAAAAAAATAAAAGAAAAAAAAAAACCTCAGGGACAGTGCCCAGGGCCTGAGGTCAAACCTCAAGACCAGCACACACACACACACACACACACACACACACATACACACAATTATAACTGTGCTTTGAGGATTTGAGGATTTATTTGTATATTAATTAGGCAATAACTCAACTCCAATACCCATTACATATGAAGGGGTCATAATGTAGCTGGATGTCTCTCACAGTGAACTCTTTCTCTGCACCTTACCCCCTCCATCTCCTTGGTCACAGCTACGCAGATCACTCAAACTAGCCATTCCAGGAAGGATCACATTTCCAATGAGGTTCTTTCTAAGGAGCCTTTCATCTTCAGAGAAGAGCTGATTTCCGAAGATAATGTGGTGATTCAAGCTACCAGACCAAAGAGTCACAAGACCCAGCAGCAGCAAGAGGACAGATTCCAAAATGCTGAGCAGCCATCAGAAAAGCTTACAGAATTCATTCCCAGGCCTGGTAGGAACCAAGGAACAGGGGAAAGCAGTTGGAGAGGAATTAAGCAGAAAAGGGCAGGAGTAGAAAACAGCTTAGGTAGAGGTAAGGTGGGGTTAGAAAGAAAAAGGAAAGGGCTGGGAAGGTGGCTCAGTGGTAGAGTGCTTGCCTTGCATGCATGAGGCCCTGGGTTCGATTCCTCAGCACCACATAAGCAGAAAAAAGCAGAAAGGGGCACTGTGGTTCAAGTGGTAGAGCGCTAGCCTTGAGCTGAAGAGCTGAGGGACAGTGCCCAAAGTTCAGCCCCCACAACCAACACAAAAAAAAAAAATGTTTGCAGAAAGAGAAAGGAAGCTGTCGGGGGACAAAATTAAAAGTCCATGAAATCTGTAGATGGTCGAAATAGATTATTTGCAGCTATGAGAAGAAATGGATGAAATCTGCTGAAATTGTTTGGGGGAAGGGGGGTCACAGAGAATGAAGAGTAATAGAGGGGAAGAAATTGAATGGAATATATTATAAACATGTATGGAAATGTAACAATGAAATCCTCCCTTGCATAACTAATGTTAAGCCAATTAAAAAAATAGTTATAAATGACATGAACTGTCACACAGACTGCCAGCCCTATGGAAGGCTAGTGTCCTCATTCATCAAGGAGTGAAGCAGCACAGGATTTTAACTACATGTTTCTCTCCTCCATGTTCCCCAGCAACCACCCCAGAGGGAAAAATAATGAAGATGGCCCATGAAATCAGGAAGGAACTGCAAGGATTGGTGAATGCTTCCACAAACATACTGTCACCAAGCCCTAATGGCAAGAATGTCTAAGAGGTCCTTGGCTGATCCATGGGAGGCCCCGGTATCACTCCCACAATTGCTCATCTACAGCACCCTGGCTCAGCCCCTCGAATTCATGCATTAAAGTGTTACAATCCAAACTCAGCTCTGTGGTGGTTTTGTTGGGCCCAGGAAGGGAAACCAGAATGCCCTACTCCACTGGGCTTCTTCCGTCGCTCCTCTAACCCCCTTTGAGTTTCAACCCTTCATCCTCTCCAGCTTCAGAGCTATTCAAGTTTTTCCATCCCAAAGCATCCTTTGCAAGGTCCTGACGCTCCCGCCTCCCTCCATCCGTATACCAGCCTCCGTGTCCCCTCACCCCACCCTCCAGTGGCAGCTGCTCTGCCGAGAGCCATGACCAACGATAAGCCCCAAGCTGTCCCTCAGTCCTGACTTCTCTGTACTACACAGTTACATCTTCTAGAATCATCTCACTGACTGTCCTGGACATTACACTCCCCTCGTTTTCTAAACTCCCTGCTCCTTTCCTAGTATGTTTGACCTATGGACTATCTGCTCCCCAGGGCACATCCTGCACCATCTTGTGCTCCACCACTCTGCAGGGCTTCTACAACTGCCAGGATGGCTCAAGGTCGAGTTTCCCAATCAATTAACACCTACCAAGTGTTCAGCAGACTTCATCTGTCTAGTATGTGCTGATTTTCCTGCAACTATGACCGTCTTCACTGTAAAGGCATGTGGTACTCACTAGATAGAAGAAGAAGGAAGAAGAGGAAGAGGAGGGAGAAGAGGAGGAGGAGGGGGGCGGGGAAGGAGGGTGCTGGTGGCTGCCACTATTCAGGAGGCTGAGATCTGAGGATCATGGTTCAAAGCCATCCTAGGCAGGAAGTCCATGAGACGCTAATCTCCAATTAACTACCAAAAAAAATGCCAGAAGTGGAGCTGTGTCTCAAGTGATACATCAGTAGCCTTGAGTGAAAAGTTCAGGGCGAGTACCTGGGCCCTGAGTTCAAACTCCAGGACTGGAATTTGTTGTGCTTAGCAAGGACAGCAAAAAAGAAAAAGAAAAAATAGGAGAACTAAAGTCTCTTTTGGTCTTACAATCAAAGCCAAGGCCACCCATTGATTGATAAGTAGGTAGGAAGGCAAAAAGAAGCCATCTCTGATCTCTAATGTCCTACCAACGGGACACATGAAAAGGTACTTACTCAGTAGATCAACAGAGAAACTGATCTACTATTGTTCAGGGCTGGCTCTGTACTGGCCCAGGAAAATCTGGAAGAAGTGTGTTCTGAGCTGGAGATGGGTAAGATAATCTTGCTCCATCCATTGCTCTTTTCTTGTATAGAAAGTGCCCACCTGTCAGCTAGGGACTGGGGTTTAAGTCTATGATCCTAGCTACTACCAAGGGTGAAATACAGAAGATTGCTGTTCAAAGCCAGCCTGGGCAGAGAAGTAGATAAGACAGAAGAACAGGTAACTAGCCTACATAAATAGCCCCTTTATCCTAAGGTCTCTTTTAACTATTTTGTGGTGGAGGTGTGGGAGTGTTGGGGGTGTGCGTACTAGTGCTCAGGGTTTGAACTCAGGTCGTGGACATTATCCCTTAGTTTTTTGCTCAAGGCTGTTCTTCTACCTCATAAACCACAGTTCCACTTGCAGTTTTTAGATGATAATAGAAGTTTTTAGATGGTTAACAGATTTTTCCTGCCCATGCTGGCTTTGAAACATGATCTTCCTTTCTTAGCCTTCTGAGTAGTTAGATCTACAGGTGTGAGCCACTGGCTCCCAGCATCTTATCCACCTTTAATGGGAAGCCTTGTATTTGGAGTTTATTGGCACCACTGCCCAGCCATCAGCAAGGTGGACACTTTGATCCGCACGGGACAGTCTGCCTCATGGTTTTTTGCTGTTGCTGTTGCTGTTGCTGTCGGTTGTGGGGCCTGAACTCTGGGCCTGGGCGCTGTCCCTCAACTCTTCAGTTCAAGGCTAGCACTCGACCACTTGAGCGACAGCGCCACTTCCAGCTTTTTCTGCTTATGTGGTGCTGAGGAATCAAATCCAGGGCCTCATGCATGCAAGGCAAGCACTCTACCACTGAGCCACCTTCCCAGCCCCCTCATGTTATTTTGTATATTGGTATGGGCCAGAAAGTCAGAAAGATGAATATGGAATGTCTAAAGCTCCAAAACACTTCAATTTTCTTCATCTAACTTGACAGAAACTTCCCCTCCAATATCTGAACTCCACAAATCTCTTGGTTACTTTGGCAAGAATTTTTGCCAAGTCACCAGTTACCTCTTAAAAATGACTTAGTGGGAAGTAGCACTGTGGCTCAAGTGGTAGAACGCTAGCCTTGAGCTGAAGAGGTCAGGGACAGTGCCCAGGCCCAGAGTTCAAACCCTATGACCTACAAAAAGTAAGAGAGAGAGAGAGAGAGGAAGGAAGGAAGAAAGGAAGGAGGGGAGAGGGGGAGGGGAGGGAAGGGAAGAAAGAAAGAAAGAAGAAAGGAAGGAAGAAAGAAAGAAGAAAGGAAGGAAGAAAGAAAGAAAGAAAAAGAGAAAGAAAGAAAGAAAGAAAGAAAGAAAGAAAGAAAGAAAGAAAGAAAGAAAGAAAGAAAGAAAGAAAGAAAGAAAGAAAGAAAGAAAGAAAGGAAGGAAGGAAGGAAGGAAGGAAGGAAGGAAGGAAGAAAGAAAGAAAGAAAGAAAGAAAGAAAGAAAGAAAGAAAGAAAGAAAGAAGGAAGGAAGGAAGGAAGAATGTGATAAGATAGACTTAGTGGAACTTTCCATCTTGCTTGGAAGATGGTTTGGGTAGAGTTGTGTGCCCTTAAACTGCAGAAGATAAGGTAGACAAGCTGGAAAAGTGGCCAGGTGGTTATGCATTTTTGTTTTGTTTTGTTTTGTTTCTAACCTGAATTTAAACTCACACTGTCACTTAGCTTTAGGGTGGCACTCTACCACTTGAGCCACACCTCCACTTTTAGCTTTTGTGCTAAGTTAATTGGAGATACAATCTTCTCTGATTTGTCTACCCAGGCTGGCTTTGAATCATGATCCTCCGATCTCAGCCTCCTGAGTAGGTAAGATTACAAGCCACAGAGCCCAGCTCACCACTAGTCTTTCTATCCCCCAAGATCAGTGGGTAGCCTAGTCAATGCTGGCTCCCAAGGCCTCTGAATTAAGGCCAAGTAGAATAGGAATTCACTCCAAAATCATATTGTGTCTTAGACTCTACTTCCTCTCTCCCATCAGCTCAGTACAACTCACTTGAGGACTACAAAGTAACCACCATGTAGCAGGGTCACATAACAAAATGGCGCAACCTCAGCAATCCAAAAAATGCCAAAAAAATTTCAAGATAAACCTGTCTTCATTTTGAAATTAACAAATTGAAGTATATTCTCTTTTAGATGGAAATGTGTAGAAATGGGAGTCCAAATTCCTTCCCTCCCAACTTCTTATGCTGTGCATCCCTTTTTGTTTTGTTTTGGCGATCCTAGAGCTTGAACTCCAGGCCTGGACACTGTCCCTGAGCATTTGTGCTCAAGGCTAATACTCTACCACCTGAGCCACAGCTCAGGCCTGTGGTTGGTTGGAGATAAGAGTCTCATGGACTTTCTTATTGGAGCTAGCTTCAGAATTACAGGTATGAGCCACCTGTAACAGCTTATGCTGTTCATTCTTCACCAAGTGGATCTCAATGTGAAGGAATCTGGGTGTGGCCATTCATCTAGACCTGAACTTCAGCATCACTGATGTATCTCACCTAGTCAGGGATGGAGCTTCAGGAAGCTTCCAGGCTCTGCCCTAGGATCCCCACCTGAGATACTTTGTGACCTCTTGGGATAGACAGGAGACAGTGGGATTTTGTCATCGTGTTGGTAGAATAAGGTCTGATGAGAATAGAAAGGGTAGATTCAGTCTGGATGACTTTAGCTTCCCACAGCCAGTTAAGAAATGTTGGTTACCCTGTGTCTCTGCTCTCCTGGTCTTGGAAGAGCCTCAGATCTCTCTCAGGTATGACTATAGGTGGGATTATGTTGAGATCTCGCAGTTCTGAGGGTAAGAAGAATGAAGAGCACTCCCTTGGGGTGAGGGGAAAGGCTTCTCTGCGGAGACAAGAGACTAGCTACATCATGCCTTTTTCTCCCTGAAGTAGGAGTGCTGTCTCTAGCAACTCCAAAGTTGACTTGATCTATTTGTTCCTCCTTTTTTCATTTTTTTTTCTTTCTTTTTTTGTAACAGTCCTGGTGTTTGAGCTCAAGACCTGGGTGCTGTCCCTGAGCTTTTTCGCTGAAGTTTAGTGCTCTATACCATATGAACCATACCTCCACTTCTGCCTTTCTGGTGGTTAATTTGAAATACAAATCTCTCACAAACTTTCCTGCTAGGTCTGGTTTTGATCTGGGATCTGCAAATCTCAGCCTCCTGAAGAGCTAGGATTACAGGCATGAGCCATCAGCATCCAGCTTTCTTTCTAAATCAAAGTACCTAGGTCATATGGAAGATACCATGACATCAGCTGCTTATCAGCAAAACTTAGTGTATTCTCAATTCTAGGGCAATTATATGCCCAGAACCTACTGCATGACTTTTTTAATTAGTTTCTCAGAAGCAGCAAAGACAATGCCAAAGAAACCTTAATGCAAGTTGAAGGCACAAGAGAAAGATGTTACAGAGGGCTGTGTTCAGCACAGCACCTCATGTGTGCATGGCTCCAAGGAGATCTAAAGTGACTGATCAGTGTTGTTTGCAAGCCTTATCCAGTTCATGCTCCTCTTGATATCAGGTCCATCCATCAACAGCTAGCTCATGGGAGCTTAAGGGGCAGGAATTTGTTGTGCTTAGCCAGGACAGCAAGCTTCTGGAATGGAAGAGGTAAAGGGCAGGCATCTCATGACATCCGATGTTTAAAGTTTCCTGTTCAAATGACAAAGGATATCATAGGCACAACAAGCTGAGCAGGAAACTTCATGGTTTCTGAGAGAAGGGAGAGATTGACAGAGAGAAGATAAAGAGAGAGAGGGAAAGTGAGGGAGAGTTCAAGTCCTTCGATTCCACCCCACCATGCATGTGAATGGAAGCCTCAAGTGGCAGAAATCTCCCATGGAGAAATTAATGAAAAGTGAGCGCATGCGCACTGCCTCTTCTGTGATATTTAGGGATTTGAAATATTGCTCTCATTAGTCCCAGCTTGACTCACGTGTGACTAGAATCTACTTCTTTCGAACTCCCTTTAGAGTGTTTCATCTTCTCGGTAACTACGTGGCACGTTTCCCGGGCACATTTGCTCAGAGCATAGACAATATTC